TGTTTTTTTGATTTATTGATTGTATAGTATAACGTTTCAAATGATCTGTAGACGTTGATCTCATAGCTTATGATTCAAATACATAGTGTATAATGAAGGTAGCTGCTGCGACTGAGTACTTTCAGCTCTGTCTGAAAGAATATTGAAATACACTGTGACATGGACTGTATGGAAAACTATTGAATTTTTGAAAGTGCTTTTGGACAGCATCCTAAATTGTAAGATAGTCTCATTCTTCTATATTAGAGACTGATTGATCTTGTCTTACTCCGTCCAAAGATCTTTTAGTTTCATTTTATTTAGTCAGCAATCCCCTACAGATTTTTCAAAAATTAATGAATTCATTTTAAATCCTTAAGAAAAATACATCTGTATTCTTATAATCTTAGTTATCAGTAAGTAAAGAATATCAAGAACTAAAACTTTTATTTATTTTATTCTATATCGAGTATATTGTAAATATTAAATTTAATTCAAAAACATAAGTTTTTGACATGTTTGACTTTAATAAGTGAAGTATAATCTTAAGATTCATTCAATATATGTATGGCATTCGAATCATTTGAAGATAAGATATGTTGTGTTATTTTTAGTGAACAAAAAAAAAAAAGATTGTTATCATTTCTATCTATCAGTTTGAAAAACTAATTTCTTTGTTCTTATCATGTTATTTTTATTGCATGATAATAAAACAACCGAACGAGAAAAGAAAACTGGCTGATTCTTTTTCAAGACTAAAGTTAAATAATCAAATTTTGTCTATTTATTATGTTTTATTTTTCCGTATTAGAACATGGTCAATGAAATTCACTAGAACAATATAGACCCGTTTTCAAGGTGACAATATCGTAGTAAGTTTTCTTTTTTTTGACCAATAATAACAAACAAAAAGTCTTCTACGAATACAGACATCGAACATAAGCACCATCTACTTTTGGAAAACTTCAAATCTTCATTTGAAATAAATATTAAACAGAATGCTATTGAAGATTATTGGATTTTGAACAATGTCAAAAGATGATACTATTATAATTCACCAAAGTCATGCTGCATGAATTTTCGTTGTTCTATGATTTTTTGAAATTATGCAATTACTTTTTCTTCAATATATCAAGGAGGCTGCATTGATGTCTTGGTTTAAAATTCATACTATTTATTTAGCAGCAAAAAAGATAAATTCTAAGGATTGTTTGTATTCTGATATATACGTAATGGAATTATCATTTATAGAACAATGTCAATAAACTTTCAAGAAGACAGTTTTAAATTTGAAGTACAGAGTACCCGAAAAGTCCGTCGTGAAAAGAAAGATGGATATTTATTAAGCAGTTCGAGCGATTTACAAGCTTTTTTTTGTTGTAATACGTATAAATGAAAAGCAGCTTCGTTTAAAGAAAACGAATTAATTTTGATACTATCTTGTGAATCTTCTCTGTGAAGTTGTTGGAATGACTTTATTAGAAGGTATCCAGTCAGAATTCGACAGCCTGTTGCAACAGTCAGAAACACTCAGTAACGGAGCATTTTTACAAACACTTTGAATTTCCTCGATCTGTGATTTGTGAAGGTCTTTCAGAGTGTTATTGATTTGCTACTGTACAAGTTTCACAAAAGCATTGAAAAGTATCTCTAGTGCAATCTACGTCTGATACTTATATGTCAAATGCGACTTACATTTTTCATTTCACAATTGTAAATAGCTCAAATTTGACCACTAATAAAACTATCTGTATTTTAATATTTGTAAGCACAGATATTTATCTGGAAATCACTTTCTCATCAAAAGCTACTATTATTCGATCCAAAGTGAGCGATGTCTGGGTCATCGATTGGTATAGAACTCATTAAGACGAAAGATGTTTTTTTTACAGGTACTTTTGGATGAACACGTTTTTCTTTGAGTATTTTCATCAATTTTCACAACAATCTCTACTCAAAATATGTCAAAGCGTGGCTCAAATCACCCTTTTTTCACTATAAAATAAACATTTGTATTTCTAAAATCCGCTTAGAATAAGAGGTTGACAGAACATGAAATATGTGATCATTTTATAGTAAAAATAGGGTAATTTGAGCTACATTTTGACATAATATGAGTTGATATTATTGGAAGAATCGATGAAAATACTCAAAGACAAAAGTGTTAATCTAAAAGTACTTATAAAAAAACATCTTTCGTCTTAATGAGTTCTGTACCGATCGATGACTTAGACGTCGCTCATTCGAGTGATGAAAGCTGCCGCTATCTATATCGTTCCGATCAAAAGCTATTCGCAAAATGGTAACCTACCTTTTATTTTGGATCGGATAATAGAATATGGGTTATCAATCATATTCGGAATCAGCATGGTCGATACGTTATAACCCAGTAGCTTTCATTTAAAAAGCGACTGATCAGTCGATTATCTAAAGAAAAGCAATCATTAACTTCAATGATCTCAATTCATTTTTCATTTCAAATTCAAATAAAAATAGTAAATTGAATCATTTTTATTCTTTTTTAAGAAATTCAAAGAGAACTATGCAAATATTACAAATAGAAAATGAACAATATGTGATATAAAACCGTATAAGAATTTTGTAAATGTTGTTTATTTCATTAGATCTTGTTGTAAATTTCTATTTGGAATAAGTATGCATCATTTTTCATTTATTTATACAGTAATTTCATTTTTCTCTAAAGGTTTCAATTATCCAATTCCTCACTCACATCTTGAGACTTGATTCAAACTTTGAGAAATCAAACTCATTTCTATTGACATACTCATCACAATTGATTGTAAATCGGTAGGATATGATAGAAGAGTTACAAATATGAATCGTTACAGTATTTATAACTATCATGACAATTGTTATGTTGCACTATCATCTGACAAGTTAATCGTACCAGTAGCCTGTTATAGGTACCTATTGTTTGGTCTGACCAAAATTTGATTGGCTTGTTTTATTAATACAATCATTTATATAGTCTATTAATCTCAAAGTCTCTTAATATAACCATTCTGTTGGCTTAGCAATGCTACTATTTAACCTGTATCAAGTCTGTGACACAGCATGTATTCAGCTATACCTACCTAGAGCAAAATGCGACTACCAGAAAGATAGTATTATAACTTCACAATAGCGAACATCTATGGATCAATCCGATCTTCGAAATCTGAATACAACGCTGACATATTATTTGATTAGTATTTTTTTTTGTGTTAGTATTGACATCCTTAGTATGAATTGAATACTAGGAAGTACATGAATCAGAGGTAAGTAACTCCGAATTGAACTTGCCGGTCTCAGACATAAATTGCCAAATATTATGCTATTAGACAGAACATAAAATCTTAATAGTTATGAACTAAAGAAAAATTTCGATATCTATTAATATGTTTTCAATTTATGATAAATGTTAATTTTATTTAATATTCTTTTATTGTCAGACAATAATTTGTACTATTTTGAGATTGAATGAATTCTAATTGTGTTACCTTAACGAATAAATCTCAATTATAGTTTATTCTAAATATTAATGAATATAAGTAGATTTTTCTTTTTGTTTCTAATCATTCATCAATTTGTTATAAGGCGTTTTCTTCAATATGATTGCGTTCTATGCTTGGTTATTGATTTTAGACTCTAATGACTGGTAAAGTCGGTACATATATCTATGTATACTTTCGTGATTAAGAAGCTTAACATCGTTAGTTGCACATATATGTGCGTGTTCGTTCATTTTTTGTCAATTAAAAAAAAGAAACGAAAAGTGAACGGACACGATCGTATGTTTTGCTGAAAAAAAAAAGAAAAGTTTTTTTTTCTTCTTTTTTTTCTTCCGCTAAATTATAGTTTCTTTTTTCTTTCTTTCTTTCGAAATGTATACGTACATATTTTTTTAGATCATTTTATAAACTTAGTATTGATAATGAAGAGTTTGTCGTATAAGCGAAGTAAATGAAGTGTGTTAAGGAAGAAATCACTAGTGAGTAGACGACAACGATCGATAATCTTATTTTAGTCGGTTGTTAGAAAAAAAAAAAAGAAAATTCTCAATATCCGGAGAAAGACATCTTACCATATGTAACAAACTCGATTTATTCTTTTTTTTTTCTTTTTGCTCGTCATTACAAATCAACTTAATGTTTGTACTGGTAGTACTTTTATTTTTGAATAAACTGTAAATGTAAGTGTTATTTGTTTTTTTTTTAAGCACAAAAAAGCAGCATAAATGTATTCATCGCATGTCCTTGATTAGATATACATTGAACTATTAAGGCACGTGGTTATGAATACTATTATGTTAGCTGATAAACTTCGATCATTTTTTTTTTGTTTTCAAGACGGAGAAAAAAACAAGAAATTTAATACAAGGAGACAAAAAGAAAACGAAAGAAAGATATTTAATCTTGAATAAAATTAAGAAATAATTGAACAATATCTGTAATTCGTTGTATTTGATTATCATTATTATCAACAGTCCAATTAATATAAGCAAACTCCTTTTGTAATTCATTAATTACACATTTTAATTTGTCATATTTATGTTTATGTGATAATATATACTTTAATATATATGGACATGCAAGATAACCATGTCTAACTTGTTTAATAAATATATCCGTTTTAACAGACCGTTTTAATCGATTCATTTGTTCAACAAAACCTAATGGTCGATCTGAACTATACTGATATATTAAACGTTTAAATAAATAACGACGTTTTTCTTCATCATCTTCACTTTCGTCAAATTGTCGATTTATTTGTTGCATTTCAGCTTGACCAATATTTTTATCATAATCACATAATTTACATGTACATTCATCAATATAATATTCACGTAAACGAAGTGTACGATCTATATAAGAACTATAAACAGATGGTAAATAACATATTGTCATTTCTTCACCAGTTTCAATTGGTTTAAGAACACTAAGAAAACATAAATGATTAATGATAATATAAAAACAATTTGGTAAACATGAATGATTGAATCGAGCTAATTTTGGCCATAAACCACTACCAATAACATTTCGTTCAAAAAGTTCTAATAAAACTTTATATGGAAGAAGATAATAATCTTCATCATCAGATTTCTTTCTTAATGGTTGTTGACGTAATGGTGTTAGATGAGATAATTTTTCGATGAATTTTTTAGGATCAATTAGTATATGCATTTCAAATTGTCTTAAAAGTTCAAGAACTGATTGTCGAAGATATTTACCAGCACTTGTTCCATCTTCATCTGTATTTCGATGTTCATGCTTTTGTGTTAAAGAAAAAGTAACTAAACGTGATTGACTATCGACAAGTGTTTCATTTGATTTCGAGTGAACATATGCAAATGGTTGTTCGACTAATAATAATGTACCCGGTTTTAAAGGACATAAAGCAAATATACCATAACCTTTTTCCTACAAAAAAATATGAATTTATTATTGAAATAAGGAAATTTTTAACTTCAAAAAAAAAAACAAAAAAGAAACGATCAGTTTTTTTTGTCAGCATGCGAATTGATATTTTTATCTTCCTTTCAGTCACACTTTCACTAGAAAAATTTTCTTACGAAAATCCTTTTTTTTTATATATTCGTCGATCCTATTTATGATGAATATAATGATGTATTCAATTATACAAAAAAAAAACCTAAAAATATTTTACCAATTTTTCACATTGTCGAAATTCATAAACATTTTCTCGTTCAAATTCTGCACAAAATTCATCCGATCGTCTTGTTCGTCCTGTCATTAAATCAAACATATCATAATTTCCTTTTGCTTCATTTTCTAAACGTGGTATATCACAATCAAGTATACGTCGAAAACGATCAACAATTTCATTAGATGTTGATGAAACATCTTGTGTATATTCAACTAATGAATGTATAGATAATTTAGCTTGATCATATAATTGTAAACCAATTAATGCACGTAATTTTCGATAATGTACTTTCCATGTAAATGTTATATCGATTTTATCTTCAGTTGAATTATTTTTACATATATCTAATATACGTTCACAATCAGTAAGAGCTAAATGTGGTAATTGACTTTGTAAATAACATTCAGCACGATTACTTAATATACGAGTATCATTTGGACTTTTATCCAAACCAAGAGAATAATATTCAATAGCGCCATTAATATCATGATTATGAAAGCATTTGTTACCTAAAAATAATAGATGATTAGAAATTTTTTATAGAATATATATATTTATAAAGAAAAACTTAAATAGATTTAAAGAAAAAAATTATTTTTTTTCATAACTGAATATGAAAGATGTACAAGATCAAGTTTCTTGTTCTTTTTTTTCTTTTAGGTTTTATCTTCATGTCATTATTTGAATTATTTTAATGTAATATATATATATATATATGGCAAAAATTTTCTTACCTAGATCACGTAATTTATCAGCATCCATTTGCTCAATCTCTTTTTCATAATCAGTAAACCACATTTCAAGTTTTGGATTATCTACACGTAACATTAATAAACCATCTGCAGCCATTTTAATAAATGGTTGTCCAACAATAAAATGTCTCTCACGTTTTATTCGATTTCGTATATGTTCCATAGATTGATCAGCTAATATAGTATACCAATTATATATAGATAAACGTATAACACTTCCATTTTCATCTTCAACTATAGATTGAATAGATCTTGGTGTTACAAATGGATCAACAATTGAATGTAAAGAAATCATTGAACCTTTATGTACACGATTAATTTTTGTTTCTTTGAGGTTAATACGTGTCATAGACATAAGACGATTATAAATTTGTTGTTTAGAAAGAAATGGTAATGAACGATATTTTAATTGTACATCAAATGTATATGGTATAACATTATAATCCTCAAGTGTTAATGCTTTAATATAACGTTCAAAAGATAAAATTAATTCTTTTCTTGAACATATTTCATGAAATGGACGAGAATTTAATTCCGTACCATAGATTCCTGTTGGTGCTGCAAGTAAACGATCAACAATATGAAATGGTGATGTACTTTTTTCTTCAGATGATGATGAACGTTGTGATATAGCTGTTAAACGTCGTGCAGTTCGAGCAGCTTTTTTATTATTTTGACATTGTCGAGCAAAATAAAATGCTAAATTTGTCATATCAATATTTGGTAATAGTTGTGATAGATCAGCAAATTTTAATAATTGCCGTCGATGTTCTTCACAACATATATGTGTTGGTATGTCGAAGTTCGCCGATTCATTTTGTTTAATTCTATAGAATAAAATTTATTTGTAAAAGAAAATATGACTTTTTTTTTTTTTTTTTTTTTTTAAAATAATATTTAATGAATTAAAACTAAGATTGAAATAAAGATGTTCTTTCTATATTTTAATAATCATTTTCGATAAACGACAAAAAATAAAACAATAATAATTTATAGACATACCTATGAAGCATTATTTGTCAAATAATTAATAATAAAATGATTTTTGTTTTTCAACAACTAATTATTTATTCTTGAATCAAACAATGCTCTCCTTATCTTCTATAGAGTATCTATAGCAACTACACTACACCGATGTTGGAAGAAATGAAGTCGGAACAGTTTATAATATCTTATAAATTTGTCACAGAAAATGGAAAGTGAAAGAACGAAAAAAAGAAGAACATATGCAATTGGTTATAGAAAATACCGACTCATAAATCGAGACACGAATAGATGCCCCCAATTCGAATGAATGAAAATACTTCGATTTTGTTTTTATTTTTAATTGATTAAAAACTTGTCTATACTTTTAATATATTCTAATATGTAGATATTGTTTGTTAGGTTGTTTGTCTTTTTCTTGTTGAGTTATCAATCTTTCAAGTGTTATTTGTAATTTAAAATAAAAAATGTCACAATAAATCAACCTTTTAAGATCTACTAAAGATGTCACTACACATGATTTTAAATATTTTTTTTTGTTTCAAAATTTCTTTTGCTTAACAGTTACTGTCGCATCCACAGATGAATCTAGAACATGCTAGAATCGAATATAGACGATTCTCTGGATTCTATATGGACGTGTTACTCATTGCATCATTCAAAAAACAGAACAAAGTCATTTTATGAGTAACGAAGCTGGCATACAACGTCACGTTTCTTGGATTAATAATTATTATTTCATATGCTTGATATCTTCAGGTATGAGCAATATTTATTTTTGTCTCAGAGTTAAATATATATATGAAGAAATTTGAAAATTAACACGTTGTTTCTTTTAAATAATTCATTGTTTGCAAGATGAAACATTTCAATGAAAAAGAAAACATTATGATTAATATTATAGCCAAATAGTATCAATCCTAATGGAAATATAATTTTCCTTTTAATTATTAAATCTAATTAAAATAAATAATGATAATTACAGAGATAATTTTTTTTGTAATGCTAATAATCATTAATTTTTTAATGAAGCATTATCTTATGTATCTCTAGAATATAAATGCTTTATTGAATATTTATCTAAATGTGCTTGAAAGAGTTTACATAATCTAATAAATATTGAAAATATTTAATTGTTATGGAATTAGGAAAAATTTTCTTTATATATCCGAATATATTGTATTATGACATTCTTTAATGATGTCATAAGCTTCATGACTCATATACAATGTGAGAAAAATACTAAGTGAATTAGTCATCGATGTTTTTTTACTTTGTTCTTTAATAGTATTGAGTACTCCATGAATAATGAAACATTCGGTATATTGACTAATTTTTTCGTTTAAACCTGATTGTTTTTTTCCAACAGATGCATTGCCAAATTCTCTACGAAAACTTAATCAGATTTATTTCTGTTTAGGAGAGAAATCAACTGAAAAATACTCAACATATAGAAGCAGACTCATTTGATAAATCGAAAAACACTTCTGCTCAAATATTTTTATTGCGGTAAGTAATAAAAAGAAAAGAAAGTATATACATATTATAACCCTTGAAAAAATTCTATCAACTACATACAGAAATAGAATGTGTTGTATTCAGGCTGCTAACTATTCATTCCCCATTTCGTTCTGCACATATAGCTACATATGACTAATTCAATTAAACATAATGAGCTTATATCTTTTTTTCTAAATTATTTATTGGTTGCGAACATACCTAGAGATCAATCGAACTCAAGACAGTTAGATCTCAAGATCTGATCGTCTTGAGCTCTAAGAATAGATATCGCTAATTCAACTGAAACTTGAAAAATAGTAATTATTTTTTTCTGCAAAAAAAAATAACGAATGTGCTGAAGACTGGATTCGAACCACGTTTTCAAAATGTGTCGTACATTGTGTTGCAAACTGTAATATATTTTATTTTAGTGAGCAGTATTAGTTGAGTAAATAGGAAAGCAATCTTAGAGACTTGCATTGAGTTCTTAATTGTATGACGACAACGATCATACTTCAACTTTGCTCAAAAATATTTTCATTCTTTTGTTTCGTTGTCTCTAGAATCGTTTAAAATACACTAAAGTTTGTCAAGTAAAATAAGTTAAAAATTTTGTATATTTTTATATATTTAATATCGTTCATTTAATTTCTCTCCTCAATAGAAATAAGCCTGATTAAGTTTTTGTAGAAAATTTGACTATGCATTTTCTAAAAAAAAAGTAGTTGGTACAATCTCTGCGAGATTAAAATGTGAAATGTCATGAAGCTGTTGGCATTGTAACAAAGCATATGTGATAACTATCACCAATATACCAATCGGTATAATATGCGTTATAACGATGTTGTTTTTTTGAATGTTATATCAGAACGAATGAATATCTTTGAAGTCTGTCAAAGTTATCAGAATTGAATCGTTGCCCATGTATTCTGATAACATTGATGAGTCTGAATCGCCTGTGCCAATTAGAGAGCCGAAATTGAGTCCCGTTATTAGATAACTTTTCATTTTCGATGATGCGGCAAAAGTTTTTATTAGTCAAATATATTCTGAAACTGTATTCTTCTCGATTAGTTTGAATTCTTTCTAATAAATAATTCAAATTTACGTAGAAAATATTCTTTGCAATCGTTGATAGCTGAAACCTTAAATTGTAAGCGCTACTGCCGATAGTGCGAACAAACACGCGATATAGAAGGAGATTAATCAACAGATGTTTCGGTTTGTGGATTTCTCGCTTCAGTCAATGCATGTCGATGGTGAAAGATATTAATCGTAATATATTGCAATAAGTGTGAAACAAATGTAAGAACAATTATCATATTAAAACAGTAGTGGACTTTGATCTCACGGTTATGTCTGTAGTGGTCGAGAACAGTTGCTCAGATGTCTATCAAATACTCTTTTCATAGAGAATTTGATAATGGATCTTCTGTTTAAGAATTGAAAATAAAAATACTGAGAGATTCGTTATTTTATGGACCATGTATAAATTATTTAATAACATCTAATCGTATAAATACTCATAATAAATATGAATCAATCTTTTCGAATTTATTTTTTAATAGTTAATAATATTAATATTTTTATAATTACTGTATTATATTAGATTTTTGATTTAAATCTTTCGTTTTTAAATGAATATTTATTCGTGATTATAAGTATAAGTTTAATTTCAATACAATGCGTGATTTCATGTAAAAATGAAAAATAACCTTGACAAATCAGTAAGAAGATAAGCGGACAAATAGGTGAAAAAGTCTTTCAGATAATGTTCCATAATCATTTGGTTGAATGCCACGAGTGAGAATATATGACCATCTTGGTTTTTTCTGTAGAGTAGGTAAATGATGAGATTTTTTTTCATTTTCACATGAGTTTGTAGAAGACTATTTAGCAAGAGAGAAAAAGCGAGATTGCAGTACTCCAAAACATGACGAAGTACGTACTCCATTCATACGTTGAAATACTGAAGTATTGCTTTTTTCCCTTGCTATTTAGACAATGCTCAAAATTATCCCAAACGAAAAGTGTCTAAAATGTTGACAATCAAATTGTTTTATAAATGTCTTCTATTGAAATATTTAGGAAACAATTTGATTATTAATATTTTAGACACTTTTCGTTTGTGACAATTGTGATCATTGTCTTTTGGATTAGAGCAAGTTTAATGAACTTTCTGCTGAGTAAATATTGAAAAGTGAATAAGCGAAAAAGAAAAAAGAAAAAAAAAACCCAAAATCTTTCCCAAATCATGTATATATGCGGACGAACGCTTTCACCGCAGCCCTACAAATCGGACACGTTTTCAAACTGTGACCGCATGCTACACAGCTCGTTAAATGACCACATGGTAAACATGCAACTTGACGTTCTGTGTTCAAACATAGAAGACAAGGAGTTGACTCTTCTATAAATAAAAAAAACAAAAGAAATTATTAAACAAGATAATTCATTATTCGATAAATATTTAGACCTGTCTTCGGCATTAATTTTGGACCTGGTGCAACTGTTGTAATAATTTTCGGCGGTTCCGTTTCTTTAAAATGAGAAGACATATAAGAATTAAAAAGAAATATAAGAAATACTTTGAACTGGTAATGTTTGTTTAGTATCACTTTGTCGAAATCCGATGCCTCGTGCTTGTTCCTCAATATATTTTTTCATCCAGTTTTGCGGAATAAGTATATTGTTCTCATTTCCATTGATCAATTTAACTTGTTTATCGAGAATAAGACATGCGACACGAAGGTCAACATCACTTTTAAAATCATCCTCTATAAAACAACATATAAATTATAAATTTCATTGTTTCATATTAATTAATGCGGTGCGAAGTACAGCATTTGTGTATTCCTTCGCGAGTTTTCTTCTTTCCTACTTTCCATATGTACGCATCAAAAGTAGTCATTTTGTGTTGCTATGATCTCGAGAAGTAAAAATCCGAAAATAGTCGTTGAAATGTGAGATCCCAGTGTCTAGTTCGAACCGATAATATCTCTTGAGTTCATCCCCAAAGCACCTTCAGGTTTCTCACAAATCGCTTCCAAAAATAATCAATTATTGAGGACTTCGGCTTTTTTTTTGTTTTGTGATAATTAAAACGAAAACGAAGAGAAAAGTTAGATGTCATTATCTTTCTTCGTGTGTCAAAGAGCTCTAACCACAGCTGATTGTAAATAATGAATCATAGAGATAATTAAACGATCAATCGAAATCGTCATTCAGAAAAGTATTTATAGGCTTTCGTAGAGTTTTCATGACGATGAATTTTATTATGGTGCTTTTCAATTTTCTCGTGACTAATCTCAGCTGACTCGTGAAAAAGTAATTTTTCGAATTTGAATGATACAGAAGTATCTATGTTCAGTAGTCTGTACACAATTCAACTGTAAATGACGATTCCTATTAACTTGACAATCGAATTTTCGTTTTCCACGAAATATTGTTTTTTCAAAAACTCGAGAGATTCGTGCTTCGCACCGCATTTCCTATTCGAGTCGAAACTCGAATACCATCTAGTTTACTTTTAAAACGAAGCTGCATTTCATAAACTTTTCTGAAGAAAAAAACAAATTGAAAAAATTATAACAAATCAATTTTTATTAAAATATCTAAAATTACCGAATAATTGCCATACTATAGCCTTCTTGTCGAAGTTTTTCAACAACTGGTAAATCAAGACGCGCTTTGACCATTCGATCAATTTCATCATTTGTCCATGGACTATATTGTGAAGTCTCACTAGTATTACTGTCTTGTAAATTTTGTTGTGCTTAATTTTAAAAAAAAGCAAAGAAATAGGTTTTTTTTATTTACTTTTTTTTTTTACATACCACGTAATTCACGATTTTTACGTTGTATAGCTTGGTAAAGATTCTCACCGATAAACTGTCGAATATACGCACATTGTGGAAACCAACGTGCGTGTTCAATTTTCGGATCATCCGAAGCTTGCCAATTTCGTAATGCACCATTACAATAAAAGCATCGGACAACAGTGTTATCACCTAAAGAAGGCAAAAAAAAAAATTAAAACTATAATGAAATTCGATATTTTTAAATAATATCGAACCTGTATAAAAAAATCCTGCATCAACGAAAGATTCAATGGATGGTAATGCTGTTTGCTCGGTTGCAGGCCAATTCTCAAATGTTTGATGCCTACGAAAAACTGCTGCATAGTCAGCATGTACAGCTCCAACAATAGTCTGACTATTAGGTACATCATTCGTCGCCGGAATAGGTACAGGTACTTGTCTTTGATTGTTAGTCCCTTTCTGTTCATTTGAACGAACAAAAAAACATTGAGGAGATTTAAGCCGATGAATCTCATAAGGTCTATCGGTTTCATTCCAATTGTGAAACATTGCATCGCAGTGAATACAAATTACCCGGTCTGCTATATTAGTATACCACCAGCCTGCGTATGTCATTTCTTGAGCACTTGGTGTTATTGATGGCCAATTTGATAATGTATACGTTCGAGCCTTGTCCATTGTTTCAGTTGATAACGAAAAAACGAATGGATTCTCAATGCCTTTCTTGTTCATATCTCCAATATCACCACCACCATGATCCTTGTAGCTTCGCATATCCGAGTTCGCAACATGAGTACGTGCAATGGGTGACTTGATAATTGATATTGATTGATCTAAATATATAGATAGAAAGACAAAGATAATTATTCTATTCTTTGTTTTCGTGTCCAAAATGAAGTATCTGCCAAACTGGATCGTAACTTCATTAAGAATCATATTAGGATTTCTTGTTCGATTGTAATCATATAGTTATCCACATATGCAAGTCTCTAGATGATTAAAATGATATTAATATAAACTCATATGATTACTTAAGAATGAAAAGACTAGAGCTCATTTTTTAATTTGATAATATCTAGTCTTCAAAATTTTTTTTTATTCTCAAAGATATCATATCACTTTATTATTAATGTAACATTTTAATAATCTATTTCAATGAATTGAATTCATTTTACAAATCGTTGGAATAATGAATCCTATTTTTTATTGATAACAAATGAACTGACTTTCAATTAATCAACAAAACCAAGTAATATTAGTTTGATACATATATATTCTACAGCATGTTTCAAAAGTTATGATCATTTTATAAATACCTATAACTTCACTACAAATCAAACTTAATTCAAAATCCTTTTTTTCTCTATTTGAAAGAGGCTTTGGCTACAATACGAACATTAGACCCTTTTCGATATCAACAAGTGTGTATTGAGCTCGAGTTCTGGTTCAGTATTCGGGACAAGGCGGAAGAATCTTATTCGAAGCCATTCGAATGGCTGCGAATGGTTAGAAATGGCTCGAAATAGGGGTGGACCAGCTCTTCTAATTGGAGAAATTCCATGCATACTGCAGCACTGGAGTTTTTTCCTTAATCTGTGACCTGGTAATTAATACACAGACACTCGACATAATGTATATAGATGGTTCATCCCCGGTTCAAAATGACTCGAAATGGCTCGAAATGACTGAAAGTGGCTCGGAACTACTGGGAATAGCTCAGAATGATTGACAATGGCTCGAAATGACTGGCAATGACTCAGAATGACTGACAATGGCTCGGAATGACTGACAATGGCTTGGAATGACTGGTAAGGATTCAGAATGGCTTGGAATGTCTAGAAATGTTCGAATGGGATTTTTCCCTTTAGTTCGAGACCTATCCAACCAATTCTGACAGTATCAAGTAGTTGAATGATCCTCCAAGCGTTGAGCAATAAGGTCAGTTTTTGGATCATTTATTTCACTGTATGTACATCTACCATAATCAATCTTGGCATCCTTTCTATAAGCTTACTTCTATTTGCTTTTATTAGTCAGCTGGAAAAATGACTGCAATTAACAAAAACCCTAACTCGCGAGTTCGGTGCATGCCTGAATACGAAAAACATAAATGGAACCGGTACTGGCAACCGGTCCATCCAGTCCGATTTGACCTTTTTCTACCCTTATCGGCGCCGATCGTGAGAAAACCAGATCGGACTCATCAATAACGACAAACATTATGTAACAGTTATGTTTAATATTGACACGGCTATCTATTACTATTAGGGACTTCAACTAATGCAAATCTTTGATGAATATTTTTCAATGTTTTTTTTAAAATATTCAGTCAGTGGTGTATTTCTTCAAAATAGATCGTCCGTATCTCTAAGAAAACTGGAATAACCGTAGAAATGAATGCGTCAAACCATTTTATACGATACTTTAATTTTAAATTCGGTGGTCTTGTTTGTTTTTCGTGGGAATATATATATTAGACGAACAGTTTATAAAGTTATGTGGAAAGATTTGAATAATCATAAGCCTATGATAACGTTAAGAATTTGTGTACATATTTTAAAAAACACTTCCGTACATCCGTTTTTGGCATTAAATATAGCCTAATTCTCGTTCTGTAGACAAAATTGTTACCTTGTCTACAATGTTGATGACCTTCGTCGTTAGAAATAAAAACTAATTAATCTCGTCGTTCAAATAGAACGTAACGTGTTGGACTAAATTTGATGAATAGTAGAGTTATAGATATTGCTAAAATGATCATAACTTTCGAAACATTCCGTAGATTCGTAGGCAGACAAAAAACGTAGTAATATACCATTTTTTGAAAATATTTCATGTTGATCTAGAACAAACGGACAATCAGGTCGCCGATTGATATGTTCTTGCTTGGGATCCATCCCTCTTTTCCAGTTATCAATTTCAAGTCCACATGCGTCACATTGTACTTTATCGCCTTTTCCCGTATATGAAAATCCAACTTTAGCGAGTACAGCAGGTGAAACATTAGATTGAGTATTGGTTCTCCATTGTCGAAAAGTTGCTAAACGACATAGATCTGGTTTCACACGACGTGCTAATCTAGATGCAGTCCGATTAGTAGCATTCGAGGATATACTGTGTTTCATACGATGAATTCCGACCGCCATTTTTTTTGGTAGATTTTGGTGAGGCAGACACCTCGTAATTTGTTGGCAAGTCTAGTTAAGAAAATAATATACATAGATATAGATATTTCTATACAGTTATATGCCAAGTAGAATTCCTATAGTGTAAAACAGTAAATATTGAAAAATATTCCATGAAACAAACTTTTATCAATGCTCTAGTCGAACTTCTTTTTATTCATGCTCATGAAGTTCTTGAGTACCTTAAGCACGAAAGTCATTTCGTATGGACATATCTTAAGGTATCTTGCAAAACTCAGGCACTTGAACTTCTTGTTCTGTCGCTTAGCATTCTTATTCATGCGAGTGAGTGTTTGCTCAAAGATTAACAACAAAAGTTCGTCCGCATCACAAGCTAGCAATAGTAATACTCCATTGGATTCAGTCATATCTCATAACTATGAAAACGATATCTGTGATGCATGAAATTGATTTTAATTATATTTTATACATGTTTTTCGTTCTTCTTTTTCTTCAGTCTTACATTCGAAATGATTCAGTTCATAATACAAACTCACAGATTACAAATAAACTCTATTACAAGTAGGCTAGAGGAGAAATTTATATGAATAAGTAGATTCAGACATTCTCAATGACAAGAAGCATTCTTCCATCTTCAGCAGAATAACTTTTATTATTTTGTTTCAGTTGATTGTTTCAAATGTGCTTATTCATATGATTTCAGCCTATGAGTTGATTTAAATGTGTATACAACTCATACAAGCATTTAAGTGCTTGTCTGTGAGAAGAAAGTCATGTGATATGGAGACATCTTAAGTTCTCTGCATGTTAAGCACATGGAAAAAGTAAGTTTCACTAGGAAACGTACTAACCGTAAGTTATTGTTATTTAGATATTTAAATTTTAATAAACATATAAAAAAGAAAAACAACTCCATCCTAACAAATAATAGACGACCAATACACAGATACAAATAACACGTGGCAAGTCCCGCACTCTTTTTTCCATAAAAAACAGGATAGATAACTTTTTTGTTTTTTTCATCTCTAAAATTCAATGAAATTTTTTATTCCGTGAAGAAATACTAAAAATTTTGCGCTGTCTTAAAACTTACTTTTTGAAAGACGTAATGACCTTAAAGAAAAACAACAAAACATTAAAGTTCAATCTCTCATTGGTTATATATATATACTAAAGCATTATGCGCAACTATTGGCCTGGAATGTACTAGAAAAGTTTGAAACAGAAAAAGTGCATTTTAATTATATAGTCATGAGAAACTGACCCTTATGCACTTTAATTCTCGTAAAATCTCTTTCCATGTTGTCATTCTGACTATTTTTCAATAATCTATGAGTCATTGAAATCATGCGTAGTCATCATGTTTATTCATTCACATAGAGGGTAGATTTTTCTGAATGACAAAGAATAAATAAAAAAGGATAGCTTCAAGTAAAAAAGCTAATTTTATTATTGAAAATAATTTCAATGAAACTTGACATTTCGATTATTTAATAAAATTAATTTCAAAGAGAAAACTATATTCTTTCCATTATAAAAACAGCACAATATAATTGAATTCATATGAAAATATGCTTCAATTAAGAAAAACAATTAATTATTAATATTTTCACATGAGAAACGTTCTGATTTTCTAAGAAAACAATCTTTCAATAACAATGTTCTTTGTAAAATAAAACAAAAGAAAACATTTCTTTTACATTATGTCAGTCGTAGTGATGCGTTGAAACATCTTCGAACATACCGAAATGATATCTTTCATTATACATAAGAGAAAAAGCAAGAAAAAAACCATTACGTCACTGATCTTCAATTTTTTTCTGTTCTTTCCTATTAGCTCAAATATAGCATATATGTTCTTTTCTTCTTTCATGAATTCTTTTTCTCTTCTTTCCGGGATGACGTTATAACGCCGTATTACGTAATAGTCATATATTATTGAGATAAACATCACATTCTAATGATACTACTCATCTTCAACTTTTGTCTCAAACACTACAAAATAAATGAATTATACTATTCTATGTCGATGATTTATTTGTTTTCATGCCACTTCTCTACACAATGGCATGCTGAATAGAAAAAAAATTTGAAGTCTAATCTATGAAAGAACTATGCATGGCTTATTTTACGAAGAGCTATTCGACGATCAAAACTAAGTTGTCACAGAAACAGCAGATAGCTAATTATTCTCATTTTTAGTAACTCAGTTGGTTCAAACATATCATATCTCAACCTATATTCTATAATCGTGTTTTTCGTTTTGGTCTCATACTTAATATGCATCATAATGCGTAAGAAACATCTTACGTACTTTACGGTACTATTTATAAGAATTTTCTTTCGTTCTGTCGTTTCTTTTACGTCTATGTACGTCTATATCATGACTTGTTTTTCTGTTCTGTCACGATTTACGATCAAATAAAAATGAAGGTATATCGATTCCTATGTATTACGGCTCATCACTAAACAGTCGAAATAATTTTCTGCTTAAAAGTCTAAGTTTTCCATTAAATGGAAAATTATTCAATTCTCTACTAAAACAATAGACAAAGTTCACAATTTTAAGAATATAAAAAATAACAACATTAATTGAAAATTCGAATTTCTATTTAAGACTTTCTATATAATTCGTTACATTATGTTTTTTTTTAACAGAACTACATCTTGATCCATCGATAATATTATTTTTACAGCATCATATAGCATTTTTGGGGGTTTAAGTTGTATAGGGACTCTATAAATTTTATTATTATTACTATTTACATATATATACATTTTGTATGTACAATTTAGGGTGTGGGGTGTGGGTGTGGGTGCGGCTGTGGGAAGTAAAGATTTCAAACCACAGCCACAGCCACATCCACTCCACCCACACCCACCCACACACACCCGCACCCACCCTCACCCACACTCACGCCCACCCACTCCACCCTCACCCACGCCCACCCACTCCACCCTCACCCTCACCCACTCCACCCTCACCCACATCCACCCCACCCACGCCCATCCCACACCTGCACCTACATCCACGCCCACGCCCATCCCACTTACACCCACGCCTACATCCACACCTGCACCCACATCCACGCCCACGCCCATCCCACCCACACCCACGCCTACATCCACACCCACACCTACATCCACACCTGCACCCACACCCTCCCTCAAGATAGTTTACACTTTTATACATATCTTGATAATGAAGATTTAAGGGGAGCCCTCCCCTCCTTTCCCGATAAAAATTTTTCGATTTTTTGTTTTTTGCGACTGGATATAGATATTAATGGTCTTTATCTACTGAGGGCATTTTCAGACCTGAAAACCTACCCTTTATGGGTAAAAAGTCCGAAAAAAATCGATATTTCCCTTGAAAACTCTTAAAAATCCATCTTTTCTTGTCGTTTTTCTAAAAATCAGATTTTTGAGCAAAACCAAGAAGTTTTCCCCCTTTTTCTCCGGAACGGCTAGACCGATCGGGCTGAAATTTTTTTTATGATAACTAGGTCAGATTTGGGGTGCGTGTTTTTTTGTTTTTTTTTTTTACAAAAATATCGTTTCTAGAGTTTAGGACAGGCAAAATAATAGAGACACTTGATCCTTTCCATGGTGCTATTTTTTCTAAAGGCCGTCAAATTTCATAGGAGTTGTATTTTTATAAAAAAAGAAAACATGCATCCCAAATCTGACCTAGTTATCATAAAAAAAATTTCAGCCCGATCGGTCAAGCCGTTCCGGAGAAAAAGGGAGAAAACTTCTTGGTTTTGCTCAAAAATCTGATTTATAGAAAAACGGCAAGAAAAGATGGGTTTTTAAGGATTTTCAAGGGAAATATCGATTTTTTTCGGCCTTTTTACCCATAAAGGGTAGGTTTTCAGGTCTAAAAATGCCCTCAGTAGATAAAGGCCATTAATATCTATATCCAGTCGCAAAAAACAAAAAATCGAAAAATTTTTATTGGGAAAGGGAGAGGTCCCCTTAAGGCTACCCCCTCCCCTCAAAAATCAATCTCAGCCCAGGAACATTCAAATGACATGAAAATTTCAGGATATGTTGGGGCTGATGAGACATGGCTATGGTCAAATTTTCAGCCCTATAGCACGATGTTCAACCGAGATATGCACCAAACAAGGGGCAAAAATAGCTCTTTAGTATCTCCAAGTTTTCTCTGTGGGTCTTCATTCTAGACATTTAATTTTTTTTTGTTTGAAAGAGCATGTCAGAATGCAGCGACTCTCGTGATCCTTTTTTAAAGTCTTACATTTTAGGGGGAAAAACCGGAGCGAAAGTTCAATGACTCAAAAAACCTCTCTAAAAATTGCGCTGCTCCGATAGAGATGTTATCTTCTATGATAATAAAAAGGCTTATTTTAAAAAAAGGGTCACGAGAGTCGCTAGCCCTGCACATAAGCTTTCAAACAAAAAAAAATATTTGGCTTTATCTCTTACTGTGATGAAGTTCTGGTGGAGATACGTCGTTAAACCCACGTTCTGAGAAAAACGAAAAATAATTTTTGGTTTTTTTGTAAAAACCGCTTATTTTTCGAATAGGGGGTGGCAAAAATCTTCTAGAATTTTCGGAAAAAAAAGGTGTTGAGTAAAAGCTTTTGTCATTTATGAAAGAGCGTTTGACGAGCTATATCCCGATGAGGTTATCTCAATTTCGATCATTTTGACGAAAAGTGACTTTTTTGAGCGGGGAGGGAGGGATGGTGGTCTTAAGTCTTCGGAACGTCGTTACATATATGTAAATACATGAATTGTACATACAAAATGTATATATATATGTATAAATAATAATAATAAGAAAAAAAGGAAAAAAATTTATGCAGTCCCAATACAATTTAAACCCCCAAAAATGCTATATGCTGCTGTAAAAATAATATTATTAGTTTCAAAATTGTTGCCAATAAACACAAATAATTATTGGTCAATCAATATTATAGGAGAAGTTCTTATAAAAAAAAATATTTCATTAATAAAACATAATTTAACAATCG